AGGATAATGCTGCCGCGCGCTGTACTTGATTTATTTAAGGATGCAGCGGTGACTTCTGCTGCATTTATCGTGCATAAATAATTCATCAAGGAAAGTACATAATCGCTTTATAGACGCCATGCATTCTAAGAGACGCTGCATGTCAAAGGACATCCACAAGCTCCTACAGCTACTTTGCTAGGGAAAGAGAGCTCACTGTATGTTCACGTTACTTGCCAAACCTGCTCCCCAGTGGCAAGCTAATCAAAGGCAGAAAAGAAAAACCAAACAAAGAAGAAAAAGATGTACATATACTCAACTGAAATTGTGCCTATTTCGGCTCTTTTAGAATACTGCTTCACCGTATCTGTGGAAGCACTTCGCTCTCTGCTGAGATTTTGCTCAAAGGGGGAACACACGCCCCAAAGTTGCAAAGCTGTTTGAGGAAACTTCCCATTTTCCTTTGGACAAGCGAGACTGCTTTGGATGAGCAAGGCAAGGACGGGGCGAAGCTGTGCTGGGTCCTCCAGTGTTGAGGAATGGAAACAGACCTGCGGAGAACACGCAGGGAGGACCTGCTTCGCAGAACTTTTAACCAAACAGTCGTTAGAAATTTCTAGGCTATGGCATAAGACCACATCTTAGCCACAAAAGAATAGTAAAATAAATCAAAAGCCACAGAAGATGAAATTAAGCGGTTTTCTACGAATATTATTTTGCCTCCTGCCCCATCACAGCCACAGACCACCTAACAAGTATTAATACAGCGGCCTTCACTTCTCCTCCATCTCTGCCACACAAAATCTCTGGCGGGTACTTTGCCTGTGTGGTAGTTGATTGCATCAACTTGAGAAGTTTGGTTACGAGAAGATGAACGGACTGATAGGCTCAGCAACTCCTCACCTTGGGGTGTGGAAGACCCACCCTGGGGCGGCTCATAGCCTGGACAGCATCAAGGGGAAACGAGAGGATGGAAGTGCTCTGGTTCTGCAGAGGAGCCCAGGCTTCACCTTCGGCCTGGGCACCTTCTCCTGGCTCTGGCACCTTCCGCTGCAGGCCCATTGGCCTCCAGACACCGACTCCCACAGTGCACTGCGGTGAGCCGCAGACCTTGGACTGGCCCCTCAGCCTGCACTGTGCAGACACCCTCTGCATGCTTCGCATCAGACTCTGTGGAGACCGTCGAAGCCGGTCTTCTCACACGTCCACATGTCTGTGCTGCGTGTTTCTCTAGCCAGTGCTGACCGAGCCAGACTGGCGTAGGCTGAGGCTGAAGAGCGGTCCACGGCAGCCTCACGCAGGCCCCTGTACAAGGCCTGGCACACTGAGCTTGCTTATCCATTCAGCTCTGGGCTGTCATCTGCACAAGAAACTGAAGCCAGCATGGGAGTGCCTCCACGGAGACTTATGGGTGAGGGCTGGACATTTACCATGTCTAACAGTGCGGCCCTGGACATTAGGCTGCTTCACACACACCGAAAGAATTTTAAAGACGTGACAAAAATAACTACAGGTTATGTCAAATACTGCCTCTGCTTTTAAGGTAGTTAGGGATCCGACTGTAATGAAGAACATACTGCTTTTCAGACCCAAACGGTCACCACATTCCCATCTCTGGAACTTTCTATGACCGGGAGATTTCACTATACAAATGAAGCCCAGGGCTAATGACTGAAATAGGTCACTTGAAAACCTCAACTCTAAACGTGAAGAAAGCCTACATATATCTCATCTTGCCTCACATCAAAGAAGACAGTCATCTGGGAGGAGAACCAACGAGGATGTGCATCATTTTGTCACTTCTTCAGAGAATGCAGCCGACTCTTGGTAGGCTCAAAGTACGGCTCCAATCAGTGATTAATCCCTACCTGGAAAACTCAAATGTGGGACCTCTCTTATCAGGGAACACAACAAAGTCCCTGTCAGCAGAAAACCACATCTGCACGCGCTTCTGTGTGAGCCTGTGTGTCCAGCCCTAACATACATCCTCCCCATGAAAAAGCCCGAGCAACGCCAACTGTCAAAGTATTCTCTAGAGAAGGAAATTCAAGTTCAAAGAAACAAAGTGACTTTTCTCATCACACTCAGGCGGCGGGACCAACACACAGGTCTCTGGTCCCTGGCCAAAACCTTCACACACTCCTCAGTGGGGCTCACCCAGTCCTGGTCTCCACGCAGGTCCCCACTGAGGCCAACCAGCCCCCCTCCAGCCCAACAATGCCTCACGAGCACACAGGAAGTGCCGAGTCACATTCTCTCAGGGCTGGAGCTGCCGTCCCAGCATACCCGAAACGTGAAGCTGAACACGTTATTTGCTAGCAGCTCAGACGCCCATTTTCCTTATGTCTCACAGTGACCCAGCCCTTTGACCCAATGCCACACTAGCACCCATCATGCTACCCCACACGATTTTTTGAATGTACCGAAATAAAAACAGCTGACTCCCGCACTTGCCCTCTTCTGGGGCAGATGGAGTGCAGTGAGTGTGGCTGCAGCCCGTGTGTTCGTTTGACATGGAAAGTGGCAGCGTTCTGAAAGCCCTTAACTGCTGCTGTGGGTTCCGGGGTGCTGGAAGGGACAGTGCAAAGGCAACATTCCTTTCCAAGTGAGAGTGCCTCTCACTGCCCACCTTCTTGCAAGGGAAACTCGGGTGTTGAAGGGCTATAGTGCAGGGTGGCTGAGAAATGGCCTCCGCACGCTCCTGCGGATCCAGAAAGCCCGCCTCGGCCAGCGACCAAGTGAAGCCTTCCACCGCTGCCCAGAGTACGAATCACTGGAATTCCCAGTGAAGTTCTGCATCTTCTTTGGAATCTCCCCAGGGCAACATTTCAACAGCCCCTCATTGTTTCCAACATGAACCCCCGGAAAATCTGTTTTAGCGCTCACCTATCCTAAGTCACCCTGTTCTTTTGTACTGTAAGTCATAATTCTAGGGAGAATTCAGAAGCCAGAGCAGGGTAACTATCTGCAGTGACCCTGTTACTGTGGCCCAATGAGCTTCCAAAGAAAGAAAAGAGATACCTTATTGTGCAGATTTATGCCACGGTTACAAATGATGCTTCTCAGCACAATTCCTCATGCACTGCTACAAAACAGCAATGAAATGCTCACTATGTTAAGCAAAGACTTGTAGGTAAGGCATTTATTTAGTTGTATTTCTTGTGCATTATTTCTGACTAATGGTTAAACTTTCCATGTTTATTAAAAGCCCAATGCTACCCACTGGGAAATGTCTCAAAGCAGGAGGACAGCGCCAGTCTAGCTCTGCCTCCTGCGCAGGGAGAGTAGAGAGGCTCGGGGGGAGCCAGCCAGGGCATGACAATCACCGCCATGGTGCGTGGGGAGCTCAGGCATCTGCATCCCACGCTCGCCCACCACTCCACCCAGGGCCACAGCCTTTCCACAAATTCATCTGACGTCAATTATTTCTGGTCCCTAAAAAGTCATGCCATACAACAGCTTACACTGAAAACATTCTTTACCTGATCTTTAAAAACATATATACTTTTAGGCTCCCCAAAACTTAAAAATTTCCATTTATTAAAATAATAAAAGTTTCCATTTATTTTACCTTATAATTACATTTTCAAAGACTTTCCTCTTCTTCCATGTAGCTTTACTATCCCATCTGCCTTGTTTCAATTCAGAATGTTTTTATTTTGATTTTATCTTTTTTTTATTTGCAGAACCAGGGATTGAACTCAGGCGCTTGCACTTGCTAGGCAAGCGCTTATTCTACTGAACTATCTACCCTATTATGATTTTATAACAATTATTCATATGTGTGTGTGTGTGTATGTATATATATGTGTGTAATGTAGTGCTTTCTCCTTTTCTTTGAAACTTACTCTCAGAAAGCAGAGCTCTGTGCATCACGACGGCCTCAAAGCAGCCCTGCAGTCTGGCATTTTCCGGCAACAGATATAACTACCTGTCTCAGACCACTTTTGTTTTAACTACTAATGTAGAAAAAAAATGCATGCTATAGAGCATGAGATAAATATTCAGTGAGCTGCTGCTCTGGGCTGCTAGAACAGCGCCGAGGTGGAGAAGGCCAGGCCTTTACTCTTGAACACCAAGCAGCGGGGGACCTGACCAGGCCAGCTCCACATGAGCTGAAGTCCATGGAAAGAGAATTCAACCCAGTGAAAAGTAGAACTTTAAGCTACAAAAATTCAAAGAAAAGATTTTATTGCCTGACTCATGCAAACAGTTGCCTCAGTCTCCTAGATATCAGTGTGACAGAATCCAGGGTCCTGACAAAATCCTGGCGTGGTACAAGCTTGGGGTGTGCGCAGGGTGTGCTCAGGGTGTGCTGGACTTCATAGAAGCCAGAGCTGATCACAGATAAATCCAACAGATAAGGACCACCCATTCCTGAAACAGTGGGCCAGGTTTTGTATTTATGAAGTAATTCAGCAAGCAGACCCAAGTTCTGGCCTCATCTTCTAAGCCTCATGCTAACAGGACCATGTCCAAGGTACACTGCCCAGAAGCCCCCTCCGCCCAACCTCACAGCCCCTTCCAAGAGGAAAGTGTCCCACTCTGCCACTCTGTTCACGGGTGAGTCTCCAGAACTGAGGCACGGTCATGGTACAGAACAAACACTAGAGGAACGCGTGGGTGGGTGGGTGGATGGGTGGATGGATGGATGGGTGGACTGGTAGATGGGTGGAGAGAAAAGACATTGCACAGATTTACCTATCAAAATGTCACCAATGGTCCTTAAAAATGGTTCTGAACTAGAGATGCTGAGTATATTCATATAATCCATTTATTTCAATATTGTAAGAACCCTAGAAGTCTTTTTCCCCCTCTCTGGGCATTGATATTTAATTAAAACTGCCACTACAGGGACCAAAATTTTATAAAAGTTTCTTTGAAAAGAAAACAGTGGATGATTTTTAAGCAAGGATTTTATCAAACTACATACCACAATAATTTTAAGAAAACAAGAAAGGATACAAACCTATTTAGCTTATCCTAATTTCTATAAGATAAAGGAATAGAATTATACTTACATATAATGTAGTAATCTTTGTTCTTCTGAAATTCTAGACCCCAGAGGTTAGGGCTGAACTCTTGAAACTTGATAGTAAATTTCACGTCTTGGTCCGGCCGGGCACAGTTGAGTAGTGGGGTATTTTCCTTCTTAATAGTGCATCTGTCTGCTTGGTCTTTATCAACCATATAAACTTTATAATATTCATATTGGCCAACAGTTTTAGAGTCCACTTTGGGGCAAATAATATCCAATTTGTCTCCTATCTGTGGGTATAGTACCAGTCCTTGTCCAGGTAGAAATCTAAAAGTATAAAAGAAAAGCCACTGAGTTGATAAAACTTAACAGTTTTCCTGGGCAGTTACCACAAAGCCAGGCTCTGCCAATTGCCCCGCACTACAACTCTGCAGATCCACACTTTCATTTACTAAAAGTCTCAGTTCAGATCAGATGGAATAAACGTATGTACTTACGAATTAAGCTTACAAAACTAAACACAACACCCAGAAAGGACCTTTCTCTCAGCCCCAGGGTCAGCGGCCTGCTGACATTTGGTGGCCTCCTCCCCCTTCAGTACTCAGGGCTCCTCTGGGTAACTCCGCAGCAAGCTTCCTCCAAGGTGAGTCAGCTCTTTCCACCTGTTTAATGTGTTCTAACCACTGGCAATTTGGGTTTATTGGGCCTGCCACAGAGCGAGCTCATCAATTCTGGGGAACAGGGCACGGATGGAGGCTTTGTTGTCCTGTTGGTTTCCACGCACTATTGATGTTAATTAACAGACAAGTTTCATCAGGAATGTTTCAAATTACTTATCATAATTAGTCAGTCACTGATCAAACAATGGGTTTTTTTATTGCACAGAACAAAAGAAATGTCTTACAAACCCATAAAAGATAACCAGAAATAATTAGTTGTGGTATTGATTCAGCTGCGGAATGAAGAGTCCTCCCTTTGCGAGGACTACTGTCCCTGATCTACAAACCTTTTTTCCCCTCCCTTGAGATGTATTTGTTCCAATTAATTCTTAGAAGCAAGACTTTAGAAGCGAGACCACTGATACACTGTCCCCTGCACGCTCACAGCTAAGCACTTCCCTCCTCCTTTGCTTTTGTGCTAGCCATGCTGCTGAAAGATCTTTCCTAATGGAGAGTTTCTCTCAGAATCTAAAACAAGAGCTTCCAATGAACCTTCTTCTACAAGTGCTAACACTAGAAACACACCCCGAAATCCCAGGCGCCCAAGCAACCAAGCCTGCAGGCTCACTAAAATATTAAAGCCAGAGACAAAGGCAGAGCCTCGGAATCCTTCCATCCCATCCGTGGCTGTCTTCAGCCAGAAAGCACCAACCAGGATGGCCGGTGGGGTGGGTTAGAGGAGCAGAGGCCGAACGAGGGCGAGAGATAGCCCAAGCCCCAGCCCTTGCCAGACAGACAGTTTATAAAATGGGCAGATATTAGTTTACTGAAGCAGCAGAAATCATAATTTATAATGTAGCTTCATATGCAAAAGCAGTGTGTTTTATGGCAGGAAAAAGTGGCTTGTCCCTCTTTTGGGGCCCAATCTCCAAGACAGTGGTCCCCTCTACATAGCGTCTCAACTTGGCTCCTTTGAACAAGAACACACAACATTCATGAATGCATTCAGAAACGTTTTTGAATTAAAAAACCTAAATGGGTGGGTGTGAATCATCTAAGATAAAATCTTTCTGTGAAGCAGAACACCCAGAAAAGTGTTTATTATATAATGATGACAACTTTAAAACATCCACGTGTGTACTGCTAAGAATTTGCTAGAACTCTGACAAGTGCAGCTCATCCCTTAGTGAAAACTTCCTGCCAGCTTCCTGGCCATCCCCACAGCTATCTGTGAGACACCAATCTCAGGGGACTGTGCAGTCCCCAGGGTCCCTCCTCAGGCCCCCGCTGATGAATCGCAACTTGTGGATGAGGCTTTAACGCCACCCCACCAGGCAGACGCAGGGATTCCAATGTGTCCTGTGGTTGAAGGCCAGGGTGTGCTGCCTGCCAGGAGGCACAAGCCGAATTCCAGGCGCAATCCTTAATGCACTCACCTTCCTGACATCTTCTTTTGCTTACACTTATTCCTTGACCTTTTTAGGAAACCTTCCACGCTTACAAGAACCAGGGGCCAATTCCTGTGCAAGGTTCCCACCCGCCTCCAAATACTTTCTATTCCAAAGCAGCTCCTTTCATAGCTGGCATGGACAAATGCCCTAAAGTGTTAGTCCTATCAGGACAAGCTTTCTCACACGGCAGTTGCAGCCTGTGGCCCGGGTGCACGAGCCCACATCTCCTCAGAGCTCCTCCAACTTCTACCTCTCACCAACTTCCCCAAGAGCTTCCCAGGCTCAGAAAGGAGGCTCATTCTCTCACCCATCTACGCGTTCAGTTCTTTGAGGGTAGCAACATATCGCCCCCTCCTGCGATGCACATCCGGGCAAGTTTTAGAGCTCACAGCCTCTGGGGGTTGGGCTCACTGAGCTTCTCCCTTCATGGTTCCTTCATGAGGGACTTTTTCTCTCCTGCTTGGCTAAGGCCTCAGTGGAGCTTCCTCCCACCCAGACAAGGCACTCTCAAGGACCTTGTCACGCGCCAGGTCTGCGTCCGAGCTGTTATGGTGCTGAGCCAGTCAAGAACACATGACACCCATTCTGTCGACCTGGCCCTTATTGTCACCGACTATGGCAGAGGGTGGACAACCCTCAAGGACCTTCATACTTCCCAAAGGAACATGACAGTGAACCAGAGCAGTGGGGAAAGGGCCACCACGCCATGCTGTGCAGGCTGCTCTCTCTGACAGACAACACATCCATGGGGATCACAGGGAATCAACAGTCTCGTCCTCAAGGGCAAGTGTGTCCCAAGTGTGTTGGACTCAATACTAAATGCCCAAGGGGCTGGCATACAGTAGGTGTCAATAATGGACACATTACTGGAAAGAAAGTATGAATGGACAAATGCAAGCCACTATTGATGCACGTTTCAGTCCAATTAAGTGCCCCAAACTATTTGTAGATCACAGGTGGGATAGGAATTCTGAAAGCAGGCAGGCGTTTTGATCAAGGACCTGCAGAGGGGCAGCGGTGGGGTCTACTGAGGGCCTAGCTCCAACGCCTGCCCTTCCCCCTGGAAAGCCCAGCAGCAGCTGCCTGCAGGGCTTCAAGTGGCAGCTGTGGAGCTGGTGCAGGTGGTGAGTGCTGACCCAGACACCTCGATCCCGCCACCTTGGTCCCAGCACCTCTCGCTGGCCAGGAGAAGAGTCCTTTCCCTGCACACTTTCAGTTACATGGAAGTCTAGGCTGGCTTTGGGAAACCTGTTGATCAACATCACCCTTCCTAGGGAAGCCACGGAGCAAAGGGGAAGCCAACACCCGCAGGCTCGCAGGCTTCCAGGGAGCACTCCAGAGAGCGTACCTCAGTGCCGTGCAAGAAACTTCTTCCGCGAAGGCCAGCTGGGAGCTTGGCTCACACAGATGGTGACCTGGCATCTGTGCCCTGCCCGAGAAGGTCAGGAAGGTCAGGAAGAAGTGGGCCACCACACCGGATTTGTGTTTTACCTGCAATGTTTCAGACGGACCTCAGGCAATTTATGCAAACAGCAGAATGTATATACAAAGAAAACAGCAGCAGGGTGAAGTGACCTGTGCCTCAGCAGCAACAGGGAGAGGCAGGAGGATCCCAAGTTCAAGGCCAGCCTGGGCAACTTGGACACACTCAGTCTCAACAAAAGCTAGAAACCAAAACTAGGGCCTGGAATGTCAGATCTGCCAGCACAAAGCCCTTTCAATCCAGAGTTCCATGACAAAAAAAAAAAATGAAAAGTGAAACATAAAACAAACTAATAACACCATTTAAGAACGGGAACCATGAGTTTCAATGGAATAATGAGTCCTATGCGCTATAATCAAGTCAATAAACCGAGATCTGTATGTGAAGCCAAGGGCTTTACAAAATTTATTACTTTTGAAACTGCTTAGAGAACTCAGTAAATCGGACTACTTGGACCTTACACCCTGAACTTTTAATGATATTTGATAATACACTTATCAAAAGCTGCTTTGCAAGTGTCAAAAAAATTGGATGGTGATGACAGGTGAGCAGATTTAAGTGATTACCTGGCTCTGTGGAGGGAGCCAAATCCAGGCCTGTTTGGGGAGCTCCAGTGAGGCACATCTCGCAACTAGGAACAGCAGGGCACGAAACCTCCAGTTAGTCTTCAGACCACACCAGGGAGGTTCAACCTTGCCAACAAGTCATCAGACGTGTCCTTTAATGAATCTGCTAATTGCTCATCAAAAATCAAACACACTAACAGGGATTTATATTCTAGATCAGAGAAAACCCAGTCAGGCTGTGGCTCCTGGAGGCTGGCCACCCTGCTGGGCCAGGGAAAGTGGGTCTCACCCATTCAGGAACGTCGGGACCTCCTTGTGGGCCTTCCACATCTTCCTTGGGGTCTCGTACAGGGAGCGGGCAGGATCTCTGGGCAGAAAGAGGCTACTCCCATGATTTTCCCCAATTAATCATTTCCAAGCAAAGCGACAGGTGTCATGACTTTACACCAGATACAGACACAAAAGAATGTAGAAAAACATGGAAATTCTACAGGAGGATTTCCAAAGCTAACATGTCTCCAGTAAGATGACTATTGGGATCTATTTTAACCTTTGGGTTACCTATCATCACATTTAACTTTTAAAAAGTTATTCCTAAGACTAGACTTAACACTTCCACATGGAGTACTTCAGGTGGTAAATCTAATCATTTAAAGTTGACATTAATATTTAGTAATCTACATTATAGATCTCTAACAATTTTGATTACTTCGACTTTGTATTTCTTACTGCAAAAACTTACTGCCATCATGTGACAGGATGTCTCCTAATGTGAACAGACTCAAACCCAGCAGAATTAATGAGGAATTAAACTGCTAGGTGAACCCATATTGTTGAAAACAACGGTATCAGGTGCTGGTAACAGTCAGGCTGCTTGGCGTTCCGGGCCGTCCCCTGTGCCCCTGTGCCCCTGTGCCTAGCAGACAGTCTCGCCTACGACCTCAGGTCTGATGGAGGCACCCCCCATCCGTTCCTAATCTATACTCAGTGCAACAGGGGGACGCACAGACCCCGCACTGGCCTGCTCCCCGAGGCCTGTGCGCCCGCAGGAGCCCATGTCCCCTCAGTGCGGACAGCCTGAGACTTCGCACAGCTTTCTTCTAGTCAGCCAAAAACTTAGTTTAACCTGTACGATACCAAATCGCAGAGTGGCTGCTGGACGCGGGAG